ATAACCCCCCCCCCCCCCCCCCCCCCCCCCCTACACAGAGTATGCGGCTTCCCTGGAAAGGGTTAACAAGAGGGCCATGAGGAGGGAGGAGGAGGCGAAGAGGAGGGAAGACGCCGCACTCGCGCTAGAGAAGAGCGCCATGCAGCAGCGCGACTTGGTGGCTTCGGAAAGATACCGCCGTCATACATCTCAGGTACATGGCAGTGATGCCAGATATCTTCTGCGGTTTGTACTGAAACCGCGGCACTATGCCAAGGTTGACGCAACCGTCATAACGTTGGCCATGTCCTCTTGCGACGCTCCCGAGATTCAAGCCACCGAACTCCCGCAGGGGAGCCTTGAATACTATCTTGTGTATTTGTTTTTTTTGCGTTCCGTCGTCAACACGCTGTGTTCACGCGGTTTCTTGAACGGGGGGGGGCGGGGGGGTTGCGCGGTTTTGTGGTGAAGAAATTTCGGCGGTGATCTATGTAACATCTGTAAGAGTGTGAGAAGCAACATCAGGAGCAGCACGAGTAGGCAGCAGAGCAACATCTGCCATGTTGAGTGTTTCCACGACGTTCCGTGGTGCGTTTTCTCCGGCTCATACCGCCAAACCGAATCGAAAATGAGACACCCCAAACTGACTGGGAAACCTCAATCATCCCTTCCTGTCTGTGCCCATTCTGTCGTTATCGCTGTCACGACCAACCAGGGAGGGAACTCCTACAAGAAAGGAGGTCCATCCGGCGGAGGGCATTTAGAGTGAGTTACTATTGTATGGGGCATGCTCTGGTAGCCGTCGAGAGGGGGGGTTGAGAGTCGTTGTGGGGCAGTCTAGCTGCCAGCGGTCGCTGAGAGTGAAACCGTCACAGCAGCAGCATTGGAGTGGAAGAATAAGCGGATGTGACAGGTAGAGGGGGGAGTTAGGGCTGTGCGGTGCACCAACGCAGAAGCACTCTGAGCTGGTAAACTGACGTAAAGTATCGAGTCACAGCTGACACGGCAGCTGACGGGAGAGGTGCAGTAGACATCTGACGGGACACACGTGGTTGAAGCCCGTGCAATGGACACGCACACAGCAGTGACATACATACGTCTGCGCGCGCATGTGTGGTGATGATCAGAATAGTGAGGAGGAACAGAGGGACACGATTCCTCAAATAGGGGCGTGGTTCCCAAGAGACATCGGAAGCACTTTTATTTTTTATGGTTGTTGCGGAGAATGATGCGTTGTTGGGTTGAGGAGCAAATTTGATGGTTTTGGTCCTTGTTGCGTGTATCAACTTTCATGCAGCCTTCGCTCGCCTTGCTCAGGAGCTGCAGCAGTTGGAGCCGCTCATGTGACGCCAACGCCTTGTTTTCTCTTGGTTTGTGGCCGTCTTCTTTTTCCAGGTCCAAGGAGTCTGTCGCCTAACCCGGTCGACTCTCCTCTCCATCTCGGCATTTTCACCGCACGGTGCGACCGCCATGCTGGAAGTCTACTCTCTGAGATTGCGGTTGGGATTACACCCAACGGTTGGGACTGCATGGGGAAGAGGCGGTTAGCGAATCGACCAAAGGGAGGAGGTACTGCTGCTTGAAATTTGTTTTAGGGTGGGTCGCAGCAGACACACGCAAAACAAAGGCTGGCGAGATTGATCAGATTGATGTGGTTCATGTCATGGTTGGCGAGATTGACGTAATTGGCGTGGTTCATGTCATGGTTTAGTTAAACCTGAGACATCTCGAAAAAAACAAGAGATGTTGGCGAGATTGACGTGGCTGTCTTGTTTAGGCTGAGACATACGAAAAAAAAAAATGTTGGCGAGGTGGATGTGATGTGTCACGTTGCCCTGGGGTGGACGCCTTTGCCCGACGAGAGTCGCTAGAGACGGGGACACGTTTCCCGCGGGAGAGTTTTTATTTTTTTTGTTCCCTGTTGATGTGGGGGACGGGTTACACCGCTGCAGCCCACGCTTGTTTGAAGAGAGATGGGAGATACGGTTTCTGCTCGTGGCGACAGGGTAGAAGTAGAAACGATATCACCTGGCGCGGGTCGCGGTCTCGGAATGGACAAGAGTGGGAGGGAAGTGGGAGTAGATTTTGGTGTGTGAACGGCGGTGAGTCCATGCATGATGCGCACCCTACATAGACCGGTCTGTCTCCCTAGAGAGAGAATTTGATGGTACTACAATTATCAGACCCTGTAGACGCAGGAAGAGGCGGGTGGTGCCTTTGCTGGAGGTGACGTGAGCAAGTCTATGATGTCAGGCAGAGACGCGGCGGGATCATGCTGATGGCAGCACGTACCCTACTGAAAGTATTGAAAGTAGGGTCAGACGAAAAAAATGCGACACCGGTCTCTGTAGGTTTACGGGTTGACGTTTCAAAGTCGAAAACAGCAGCTTTCGTGTGAACCTGGCTGCTCTAGCGTTTACTTCCGGTTTCAGATTGCACTTCTTGTCAGCACGAAGACATTGACCGCTTGTCCGTCGGAGGGTACAGAGAGATGGAAAGTGTAGCCTAAAGTAGTCGAGTCGAAGGGTGTGTGGGCCATAAAAGGTGGGCCACCTTCTACTTTGGAAAGGAGGAAACGAGGAAACTCGGCGGGTGTGTGGGTGACAACTATTGGTACTTGGACGTACACTTACCTAATGATGGCGCCGGAATGGCCACTACAGCAGTAGTGTGCTGTCCGGGACGCTGGATGGACTGAGGCACCGGCAGAACAAGAATTGGTAGGATGAGGAACGCGTGTACGACGGGAGGGTGTAGAAAACACCGCAAAGTTGTCGCTGGTGTCTGTTTATTTTACCTGGAGAAAGTTGCTAGGTTGATGGCCAAGCGGCTTGAGGTACAAGCAAAACACGAGGTTGGGAGCTGTCAGGCGTTTCATTTTGGGAGGGGGCTTCCCCCCATGGGTGATGAGAGCTGTAAATGAGGTGATGCCAGGTCGTCGGGCGGATATGGTAAAGACGAAGATCGGCGCATTGCGTCGAAAGTAACAACCCACCTGCAGTGCGCAAATACTTTTGCCACAGGAAGACGGGAAAAAAAAACTTCCTGCCGCGCAGAAAGGAAGATACGTATGTTGTCGATGTTTGGATGGCTGTATTTTGTTATTTCCTTGGGATGATGGTGATGATTGAAACTGCGAAGGGCGGCTGGGGGTGAGTCACACGGCAAAAGAAGTCTTCATGAAGGAGGCCGTCGAGGCAAGATAGTCTATGATTTCGTGCGGACGCCAATCAATGTTAGTTGTCTTTGAAGGAATTTGTTCAATGTTTTGGATGATGCTAGCTAGTATAATTAATTAATCTACCCTGTGCAAGTACGGACGGACGGTACTGGCCGTCTTAAGAGGCGAGCTAGTAAAGGCGGCGGTTTCGTGTGTGACGTTTGCATCGATCTGATTGGTCCATGTGTTTGTATTCTGGGTTGAATTGGCTGAAGGAGTACGAACGCTTCGGCAGCCTAGCTAGGTCGTTGATCTGGGTGAAGAGCGCCCTGTTTGTCGTGTGCGCGGAGAAGAGACGATTTGAGAGTTCAAAATAGTTGACCCAATCGGCCTGACGATCCGCTTGATTTTTTCTTGTTTTGTTGTCATTGTTTCCCATCCTGTGTCTCGCGATTTTTTCCCACCGCACTCGCCTGATTTTCGAAGAGTGTGCACCCTTGTTTGCGCACATATCGTAGTTGACCTACTACCTGTGACCCGCGGAAGGAAGGCGTCCGCGGGAATTGGACCGGTCCGGATGGTATAAGGCGGTTCTTAGCAGAGGCTGGAATGAATGGTTGTTGAGTCTCTCGTCTTTGTTTTTTTAGTCGGACTCGGATCGATTTGTTTGGCTGTGCCAGCAGTAGTGTGGAACGGCAAACTTTTAGGAGGATGGTTGAGCCTTGGAGCGTGCGTGCGGAAGGACGACGAGTTGCGGCGACAATCGGAAGGAGAGAGTGCCTTCTAGGCATCCCTAAGGGAAAAAACATGTGTACGTACTGTACGTGGTGCGATCCAAAGGTTGTTCTGTGACATCGCCTAATTAATTGAATCTAAATATCTGCATCTTTTGTCTGGCTCAGACGACGGCCCGCGCAGCTTGTTGTCGTGATTGCACTTATTTACTGCGTGAAGCGGAGGGTGCAATCTCGGTGGAAATGGGTGCAGACATATTATTTACGTTGCCGAACGAACAGTTAGTGTAGCGGCAGATAGGGTTGGTTGAATCTCTGGAAATAGATTCAACCCTGCCTATTTTCTCTCTTTCTTCATGTATGCTACAATGATGACCATGAGGTCCATAGACGGCGATGAGTATACGCAGTCTGGGGCTTTCGTGCGGCACGCCAGCATTGAGCACGACAGCATTGAATTCTTCAACGCAAATAAATCGGTGTAATGGCGAACAAGCTGTGTCATTTGCATTCAGTCCCTGTCCTCTGAATGGGTAGTCTTTCTGTGTGTGTACTTATTTTTTCTTATTTCATTTTTATGTGCACAACAAAACACGAAACACTTCATGAATTCTAGTGATGACTGCGAAAGGTTGTAGAAGGTCGCTCCCGTACAGCTCCGACGAATTGAATGCTATTGGCTACCACCATGTTTTCCCTCAAGGCGTCTGGCAGGAAGTGACGGCTGCCGGATTGCACACTCTACATGTACACCCCCGGCCTTGTGGCCTTGTTCACATGCATACGGCGTTATGGTCTTACAAACAAGTCGCTACAGCATGTTAGACAATGTACCATACATAGGGGAAACGAATCTTTGGAAGATCCTCCCGATCGATCACGTCATCACGTGCGCCATGCTTGTTGCAGACAAACATACATGCGACGAACTCTGCTGATCCTTTATAATGTAGGGGCGCGTGCAGGCTCGTCAAAAGGTCTAACGTTCCTGAGAAATCCAGCAGCTCCCTTCTATGCCTATGCATGATGATATGTGCACCACCAGCACCTTGAACCTTGAACTGCTGTCCGACAAATCTCAGAAGGTTGAAAAAAAAATGGCAGCCGCCGAGGTTGCAAGTCACCCGGTGTTCTACGAGATCTCCGAAAGACTCCTTTTGGTATCCCGGGAGCCCTTCGACACGCGCATGAACGCGTTCGTCGTCACTTGCGGCAACACGCACACCTCCACACAAGGCCCCTGCCCACGGTCCAGCGGCACGAGACGCCATGGCCTCGACAGAACCGCCAGTGTTTGGCCCGGTGGGTAAGGAGGGCGATGTCGATGGCTTCGCCATAGCTGCAATCGATTGGGAGGCGGGCGTGTTGGACACTCTGGAAGCGAAGCTGAAGCGATTGCTTCCCGCAGCAGGAGGAGAAGAAGCGCCCATAGAAGAAACCATCGCCGGGGCAACCGCCGCCACCCCCGCGGAGACAGAGAGAGCGCAGCTCATGGAAGAAATCGATAGGCTTGGCGAGGAAAAGGAGCAGCTCAGGGAGAAGAAGCTCGCCCTGCTGCGGCAGCAGCAATCTCCAAAGAGCTCAGGTGCTGTGCGTGTGTTACCATGAACCAAATTCGTTCCGTCGTTGGAGGGTGGGCTTTACTTCCACCAATCCGTACGTAAGGGTCGGCAACACGTTGAGATCCTTTTTTTCTGTCCCGTATACGGCTGGTTTGGTCGGCGAGAACCGACCACACCCCGCCCACCTCTGCCCCTCGCGAAAACCAGATGCAGAGAGCAAGCGTTGCCGTTGGGTCACAAAAAATTCCGAAGGGCGATGACCCGTGAGATGCGGTGGGACGGAAGAGACAGACTTTCTCCCTTCCTCGCTGTCCTCGTTGCAGGTGGCCGTTTGGTGTTGCGTCGTTGGCCGCCCCTGTCGTCGGTGTCACTATCAGCCAATCAGCTTGTAGGAAATCATGAGGCCGGCGTAGGTGATGGCGAGGTTGCGAGTGTTTAGGATTCGACGGCAGCAGCAGGATCGATCATGATCTCTCTCGTGCGATGGCTCTTTACGAGGAGGAACATTACCTGTCTTGTGTGCATGCGGCAGCCTACCATGCTGCGCGTCCAGTCCAACGCCTTGGTCGACACCCGCAAATTACGACACGGCGGTGTGTGTGGTGTGCGTGCGGACACTGCAAGTAATCTATGTGCTGAACTTATGTTTCCATCGCGCCCTTCAGCGCCTCGATTCCTGTCCGTTCACGCACTCACCCTCTGGTTCTAATGTTGTACCCTCAAGGCGCTGGTGTGGCTGTGGAGGATTTGACGATCGAAGATGCTGGAGACGAGAATAAGATGCGACTGGACGAGGTATGTACAACTATTGCACTTTGACTGTTGTTTGCATACAGCAGCACTGCTGTAGTTCATGAAAAATAAATTAAATAACAGGAAGAGGTACACATGAGTATCGACGTCTTCACTTTGCATGACATGGTACAATCAGCAGTAGGGGGGTCGACCACAAAAAATCTACGTGTACGAGGTAGGTACCACCAACTTTGCAATCAGCTAGAGGAAGATGGAGTGGACAACAATCGGTACCTACAAATTGTGCCACAGCGACCGCCCTCCCGGTCTAAGGCTCTCCACTGCAGCTATAGTAGTCTAGCAGAAGAAACCGGGCCTTCACCTGATTGGCGGGGGTTGTTTATACTTCAATGCTTCAATGGGGTTGTTCCGCATCTGAAGCTAATCTTGAAGTACTTATAGTGGAGGGAGAGTCTGAGCTCGGCTCGGAGCAGACAGTCAAGTTTGCGAGTTATGTAGTACGCCCGTAGATCGAGTCCCGAAGTGACCGAAGAAGGGTATCTCACTCAGGTATGCACATGCATACGTTGTTGAAATGCATCTTGCAAGGATCACGTTCTGTTCGCGAAATCGTCGTCAGAAATCTGTGTCTTTCCCTGTCTGTCCTGCGAGAACCCAAAGGAGACTCGATATGTCTCCCTCCTACATATTGCATCTTCACTGCCGTGAACGTGTAGAGTATATAGGACGTAGGCGTGCTCGATAAAGGAACAAAAACAACCTCCCGTCACGCTGTACTCAACAAAAATTCTTCCGTGAGACTGCTGTTGAGCACCAACCACTGCACGCACTGCTAGTGACCTCTCTCGCCCCCGATGCTGCTGTACTAATACCCCGACCGGCTTTAAAGGGTCAGAAACGACCGCCATAGAATGCTGTACACGCCTGCTTCGCTCCACATTCACACCGAAACCCGTTCCAACAAGCGCCGCCCCCTCTCCCTATCCGCCCCCCAAAAACCTTCAGGGTGTTTCGACCGAGAGCAGTGGGGAGCCTCGAGTGGTTGTGGACTATCTCCGCTTTCCGGCTGCAGGGGTGGAGGCGGAGGCTTCGACGTTCGTGCTGCCGGATCCCCCGTCCCCGTGCGCGGCGGCGGTGGGGGCGGCGGTGCTCGAATCTTTGATGACTTCTAGGCCCTCGATGGACTCCCTCCCCGGGCTGATCTCGCCGTCGGAAGAAGAGATGCTCGCCGCGTTCTCTTACGACGACTTCTCCCCCTCCCCGTACACCACGAGTTCTCCCCCGGCGTCGCCCCCTTCCCCTGCCCACGCCGACGATGCCGCGGAAGCAGGCGAAGACCCGTGGCCAGATTGTGACGGGAATGGCATGGACTCCCCACCTCTGAAAGGGGACACGACATCGGTGGACGCTGCTACGGAAGCAGGATCTTCGATCTCGTCGTCATCAGTGTCCGACAACGAGTTGGACCACGTGCTACCCGCCTTTGGCCTTCCCCCGTCGCCGGCTTCTGCAAGGGGATCGTCTCCAGATGAAACAGTTGTGAGTCCTGCGCGTGTGTGTGTATGGCTGTGTGGCGTGATTCGAGGCTCGCGTTGGTGGTTGGTGCGAGTGTAGTCGAGCACGGCCCGAGACGTATACCAACCCCGCTCCAGACATGTAAATGTGTCTTCACCCACTGGAATCTGTCCTCGTTTCTTTGTGTCGGAGAAGCGTGCACGCTGATTGTGCATGCTTGGGTCTTCAGGCATAGGAATAGGACATTGGCTAGGGCGAGGGGCGTTGATTCGTTCAAGTGTAGGCAAGTCGGGCTGACGCTTATCTTCGCCCACCCCTCCGCTTGGTTGCCTAACAACAGCTCCGGCTTGATAGACTTTGGTCCCTATCGAACCCTGAGCTGTTTCTACAGAAGCACTTGCTCAATTTCAAAGCGAATGGTAAAGCTCACGCGTTTTCGGCATGGTACCAACAAACCTGGCATCGTTCTGGTCCGACGTGGTTTGTCCCCAACATTTCTTTTCAAGAAAATCTGTCTTTGCCCACAACGTCGACTCCTTCCACTTATATCTTGAATCACTATTGTTCGTTGGACCACGTTTCTGGTGTCGAACTTTTTCACTATGTTTCTTTTCGCGGAGTTGTGGCTGTGAAAAGTTGCTGCCGTGTGGTTGCAATTTTGCTGTGATACAGCTGTCGGGGTGACGATCCACACCAATGACCCATGGCGCGGACGCTCTTGTGTAGTTACGCCCAAGGTGTTATTCCCGATGGCGGGTTAAGTGTTGATGTAGGTCTTGTTGTTGCTGCTGTTCGGCGTTGTTAGTCTTTGCTGCTTTTGCAATGATGGGCAAGAAATGTATCTACAAAAGTTCGACGCTGCGCAAAGGTGTCAGACTCGTGACGCTCTCCTTTGAGTACAGGTCCGTTCGAAACGGATGTGGTTGCTGCCCACGTCCAAGTTTCAGCTTGCTGGAGCTCCCAACAGTCAGTAGTCAAATACGCCCGAGTCACAGCATCCAACAACGGAGGGTAACAGTAGATGTCTTGATGTCTTACCAAACGAACACTTGTAGCTTTGGCTCGTTTCACCATCGGGAAGTTGGTGCCAATCGCGGCTGGGGTGCAAGGATGATGGTCATCCATCCTGACCTCTGTTGTCTTCTCGTAACCCTAACCCATCTTTTGGAGCTAAGTGAGACTCGTTTTTCTGCTCTTGTCGCCACACGGTGCTTCTCGCCGTCGTTCCCGCGCATCCTCTCGCAAGCCTACCATGCGCGACGTCAAGCTGAGGGCCGCGCACGACCCGGGGCTACCCCTGGCGGAGGAACAAGGAAAACTCAGGCCGCCAATGATTTGTGGAGGTTTTTCGACAGCTGACAGATGGACCGAATAACCCTGGTAAGTCCGGTGTTGATGTTTTGTCTTATCATGAATAACTCACGAGGTTGTCGTTTCGTTACTCGTTTCTTGACAAAAGGTGGCCGTGTCATGACAAGGATGCCGCTTCATGACAAAAGATGCCGTTTCATGACAAGGTTGCCGTTTCATTACTCGTTTCGTGACAAAAGGTTGTCGTTTCATGACAAGGATGTCGTTTCATGACAAGGATGTCGTTTCATGACAAGAATGCCGTTTTCATCTGTAGCTTTTCTGTTGTCTGCTTGCGAACGTGCGCTATGTTTGTCCCGTCGGTAGTTGTCTCCCATCTGTCGGTCTACTTGTACTATGTTGAGGACCTACACTAGGCTCCTCCCTCCTACTTGTGTACAATAGATGACACTATTTATGACGTGATTCAACTGGTTTAAGGGTACCAACGTCTGGGTAGCGTTGGTCCGCTACCGAGGGCATGCAGCATCTTTCCCGTGAGCTTTTGGCAAGAATGTAGAAAGGAGAGAGATAACTAATTAAATTTTCCTGCTTGACTCTCACCTCTGGATAGAGATGGATTTGTTGTGTTGTGTTGTGTTGTGTTGTGTTGTGTTGTATGACGAAGCATATACAGAGAGAGAGACAGAGAGAGAGACAGACAGACGGACAGACAGACAGAGACACAGACATAGACAGAGACAGAGGCATGAGAGACAGAGAGAATGAGATAGGTTCTCGAGCGGGGACTCAACGAGGGTCTGCCTAACAACGCTAACAGCTGGCACGTAACTGCAAGGTTGTTGGTCCGCCAGTGACACCCCGGCCTCCAAAGCTTAACTTGTCTTGTCTTGTCTTGTCGAGATATTGTGAGAGAAGGAATCCCTCAGGAGACTCTTTTTATGTTGTATGATAGCGTTTACACATGGTCACCATGCATGTCGTATTATGCAACACCCACATCACCCCCCCCCCTTCTGCGTGCCGCAAGTCCACCAGTCAAGATTGGTTTGTGGGGAAGGCTTCGATATATTCGTGGAATTACCACATTTTGGTTGTTCATTTTCCCGATTCGTACAACGTGATCACCACACACATTGTATCACTTTCATCCAAAATGTGTTTCTAGGATACCCTTCGAACCTGTTTTTTTTTTCCGTCTTGATTGTTGACGCTGTATAGTACATCCACCCATCCCGTGCGTGCTTTGCTCTGCACAGGCGGCCGGGGTCAAGGTCGGGGACGCTAAACACCACAGTAGCTGGGCGATGTACGCCTGGACTTGATACAAAACTTGAGTGATTTACTCACGCAGCCGACGGGGCTCTGTCATCATGATGATCGTCATGGCAGCAGTCCTTCGGCAAGACGACGAGATTTTGACCTTCGGTGTGGTATCATTCAGGTACATGTATCGCGGATCGAATTTATGCACCTTCGAACCGGCGCGGGCGGGTGGGATAGATGTCTTGTATCTCATCAGATTTTAACTTTTTCGCCGGCGGTGCTTCGGGCAAGAAACCTGTGCTGTCCGAAGTGGATCGGATTTCACGGCAGGATCGCTTTAACAAAGTTGAAATTTACCATAGTGTTTTGAATCGGGCGGCGAAGCTATGCGTTCGTCCGTTAATATATATATATATCTGTGTATGTTGCGTTAAATTATGTATGAATGTATCGTTTTAGGATACTGCCGATCGTCTGCAGGCTTGAGTTGAAGGTGGTTGTATATCGTGCCTTTCCTGGATAGTAAACGTTGCCACTCACCGTGCATGTGCCGGAGCGCTCATAACAATCATCTTCACACCAGAAAAGTAGGACCAGAGCATTATGAAAGAAAGTAAGAGAAATGGCGTAAGAGATTGAGGTTCGGTTACCGGCACGACACTTGATCCTATAGGGTAGAGTAGCTTAGAAAAATTCTTGTGCTCATCCGATTGAGACATTGTTTGTATGGGTTTGAGTATTGCTGAAATACATTTGTGCTTCTTACGATGGGGGCAGGCACTGCTGTGCTTTGCCGAAAAGAAAACGAAACCGTTTTTTTTTTGGATTTCGCACCGGTACCATATTGACGTGTTTCCCGGGATGGACGTGTGCGAAAGTGGAGTGAAGTAGATCAAACCGGGAACATTTGGTATGCATGTGTGTATGTATCTGTGTATCTGGAAGTGTTTCCAGAGGGAACGGCACGACGGGTGATTGCTTCTGCTTGGAAATTGAGACCTCGTCGGGTGGTTTGTTTGAAAAGTTTAGCGAGAATATTTTGTCTGTGAGAGCGGGGTGAAAGAATTCGTTGTAGTCTGTACAGCACTGCTTTGGATAGCACCAACATGTCAGCGCCTATTGCTTGTGTCACATGTGTCGCAGACTTCTTTTTTTGGGGAAGGGGGGGGCATTGCATCACTCGTCACACATCGCACCCGCCGGTCTCATGGTGGGTGAGAGCGGTCTGATAATTATACAAAGGCACACGAAACGTCCGACCGAGGTGGGAGATACACCTACCTCCCCTTGAACACCATGGATCCGATCCGATCCGATCCGAAGTAAGCAGTCGAACGAAGAGTAGAACCCGAACCAAGACAGACCGTTTTGTTGTTGGGAAATGGCCGAGTAGAACATGATGGTGATTGTGTGTGGAGACGTGAACGACTTTGGGGCAAGGGATTCGTTGGGCCTGTGTTTTCGCCTGCAGCTATCTGGAAAGACATGGGGCAACGAGTAAAAGTTTTCTCCGTGGCCATCTTCTGCAAGTTGTTCAGTGTGACGATCGGTGTTTGAATAGCCCGGTGGGAAAGGGGTGGGGGGGGGGCACCTGTGCATTTTCGGCCGGAGCGTGGCGTCACTTGGGTGGCATAAGCTGCCGAATTTCCGCTCGAAGTAGGCATGCACGATTGATAAGACCTTTGCTGTGTGAGGTGACGGCCACGCCCTCTCCATTTAACCCTTGAGAACGTTTTTGCGGTACGTGATACGCCAGGGGAGGGGATCTGTCAAGGAGGCCCAACGGATTGATTGATGTCCCATTCGGGGGAGGGGGAGGGGGCACACTGATGCGTACGGTGCCGCCGCATGTTCGTGGAGTGCTGTAGATGCCGGCGTTCACCCAAACGATTGACTACATAAACCGAAATTGGATGTATGTGCTGCTCCATGCCTGACATATGTATGTGGTTTGTGATATTTTTGTTCGGAGGGTTGCTGCGTAGCCCTTTCTTTCTTGGCGAAGGAACGGGTGCGCGAGTGTGATGGGGATAGGCGATCCACCCTTATCCTTCGCAGGGCAGGCGACGACGTGCGTCGAGGTATCCAAGTGTCGGATTGACTGGATCAAACTATTTGGTTCTGGGATGCCAACCAGTGTTGCGGGTTCGAGCCACCCCCCCCCCCCATAAATGTCTTGTACTGGAGGAGGGTACGAAATATTCGAGACGCACTTGCGTGATGCACAAAGTGCCTTGTTTTGCTTGGCCTCAATTGGGAGGGATGGACTCAATCTAATCACGGTGCGATTGTCTGGGGATTAGTTTTCCGGTTGTTTCTATTGCTGTCGCATTCAGCGTTGTTTTTTCTGGTCCTCTGTACCTTTTTGGTTGTATTGTTCATGTTGTGCCCTTTTGGGGGCAGTTTGCCAGCGTGGACACTTTGTTTTGCATACGTTGTAGGCTGCAGTGTGGATGTCAGAGGACACTTAACAGAGATCGGAATGGTTTTCATGCGACAACAACGACGAGAACCACGACCAAGTACACCGGGCTGCTGGTGGGATCATGTTCTCACAATGTTTGTTTCGGGGGTGCCAGTTTTCGTAGTGAACCAACCGGTGCTCCTTCCTCGGAAGTGATGGGGCGTGGTCAACGGCAAGTTGAAGAAGGATCATTCTACACTTCTGTAGTGGGTCCTCAATAACTAACGCCGGTATGTATGATGTGCCCGGCGCGTCGACCGGCGCTATCCAAAGTACAGAATGACTTGGTGATGCAGTCTGTGCCCAGCAAGATCACCGGCGTTATGCAGGAAGGGCCAGCGGCGCTATTCAACCGGCGTTGTTGAGGGCCTCTCACTGCTGAGGGCCAACTGACTTGTTTTTCCTTCGGCATCCTCTTCGTCGTGGCGTGGGGTAAAATCGAGCTTTGAAAATCGGTCGAATGGTGGCGTGTTCTGTGCTCGCTATGTACTGCATGTCTCGATTCAACACGAGATGCTGCTGCGTCGACGACGTACATCATGGTGAATGACCCCGTGCCCAGAGCACAGAGGGCAGCCGTAGCCCCTCAAGCGCCCGGTGCTGTTGCAGCGGGGGCACAGGAAACCGTAGGTAGGTACCATCCGTGTTGCGGAAAACTGCACGTAGTCCTTTCAGGGATCTTAGCAAGGATGGATGGGGAAGATGTGCGATGTCCATCATCCTTTGTTGGCATCACCTCACTCATCATCACATCATCACATCAGACGGCACATTTGGCTTATTGTTGGCATTCGCTCTCGACGGGTGAGCCAGGTGAGTAAGTAAGTAAAGAAGGGTCGACGTGGTGGATTCGTCCCGGCTTCCTTCCTTGAGCTTCCTTCCTTATTCCTTTATTGCAGGGAGGGATGGACGTATGTATATGGATGCAATGATGCGATGTCGGAAAAAAGACTACGGTAGGTAGGTTTCCATGATGACATGATGGGTATATATATATGTGACGGCCCTCCCTATTATTGAGCACCCCCAAAAGCGCAATTTGATTCGAATGTTTGCCGTGTGCATCCTACAGTACATATTATCACACACAACAAGCAGCTTAGTGGCAATCAGTCGTCGTCTGTTGACTTCTGCTGTAGACACCCAACACATTTCGACAGCTGCTCGTTGCGTTGCTCTGCCATCAGCATGTATGTGTATGTATGTGCAAAATCGATACCCAGATATCTGCAGACTGAGCCGACACCCGCAAGACGCCTATCTATATACTCAATCCGACACATTACATAATATCTCGAATGGGTAGTCTTTCAGTGTGTGTATTTATTATTCTTTAATAATAGACAGGTAGTCAGTGTCTATTTATGCTAAAATCCCGTGATGATCCTACTGCATGCAGTTCCTGTCATCACGAGTCACGAGGTCTCAAAAAAACAAATCGCGGCGCCGCCTCTGCACATGACATGATGTGACCACACTTTACAAGCCAACGTCTATTTACCCCTATTGTTTTAATTAACTACGAAGTACAAAGCAAGAGAACGGGCGCACCGTTGGACATCAACCAGTGGAGAGGGGTGTACCGTGAGGGCCATTTTCTCGGAGTCAGAGTCACCACGAGAGAGCTTTGAGCGTTTGAAGGGGGGGGCACAAACTTGTTGTTGCTCTTCGGTCCTTTCAACTCGAAAGACAAAAACACAGTTGGTTACTGAGTTTTCCTGCGCCACCACACCGCGGCTGAACAAGAAGAGCAGGGGATACCATAGGCTGGAGGACTACAGACGGGATACTTAAGGTGCGTCACGCTGGTACGCTATTGACGCTATAGTCTAGCCGAGTAAATACATGTGTCTCACGCAGGAGAGATGGGAAAAAAATGACATGAATGAGTCAACGAGAGACAGCGGTCGAGGAGAAGAGAAATATAGCTCGAGAAGAGGGATCGAGGGAGAGGACGAGAGTGGCAGAGCGCACGAACCCCTCATCAGTGGCGTTCTCGTTCCCCAGGCAGGGAGGGCTGTGTAGTGGGGCAGCCAGCAGCTACTACGGCTGTAGTTTTAGCTGCTGCTGTACAGATTGCACCGAGGGGGCGGTGCAACCTCCGACATCAATCTTGAATCTGCCATCGGCGGGGACAATCCGTGAGTCTTTCTTATGCGTCGTGGTATGAACCGCCGAGACACATGACCCCCCCGGGCAGACCAACAGCGTGTACCAACAACCAAGTGCTTCGGACGGTCGGGTGAGGTGTCGTTTCAGCATGGAGGGCAGGGGGTCGGCTGTAGGCGAGCAAGATAATAGACAGGCACAGCACGACGCAGGGGTGCGCATTCGAAAAATAAACATGTAACGACAACGATGTTCAACAGCCCGCGCCAGAGATGACGTGTACCAGACCAAATCGTTCATTGCTCATTGCCTCCGTTTCCCCCCCCGGCTTTGGTCTTCTCATTGCCGCCGGTCTGTCGCAACGCAGGCAGCCAAAACCGCCGAGGTAGCTGTCTAGTGAGCAGGGGGGGTTGAGAGAGAGTCTGAGAGACCCCTTTGTGTTGGGCGTGCGAGGTTTCATTCAAGCCAGGTCTCGATATTTGGTGACGAAATTGCATCTTCCAATTCCCGCCAGCGCTGCATACGTCATCCGATTTTGTTGCCCAATCTTTTCGGTCGCGGCCCCTCTTGTCTCTCTTCGATTCGCTCGCGTGCCTGCCCTCTCTTGCCCCCACAGCAGCAGCAGCAGCAGCAGCAGCAGCAGCAGCTAGTGAAGCCATGGATCGCAGCAGGATGAGCACCAACGCCTTCGAGCGTGTGAGCAGGGTGGCCTCTAGGCCCGAGGACGCGGAGTCGATCGCGGTGAGCCTGGGGGCTACCGACCTCGACATCGAGCTCGTTGACAACGAGGTCAGGCGGGCGCTGGCGGCTATCCACGGCACCAAGAATGAGACCTACGCCGGCAGGACCAACGACACCGCGGCGGGCGTCTCCTACCTCAAGAAGCAGCTCGAGAGGCTCATGAAGGAGAAGGCGCAGTTCAAGGAGAAGAAGCTCGCCCTGCAGCAGCTGCAGCAGGAGCTGCCGAAGCGGGTGGCCAAGTACGCCGAGCGGCCGGAGACGGCCGCGCCAGCACCGGCAGCGCCTTCAGCAGCAGCAGCGGCGGCGGCGGCGGCGCCTGCAGGTGCGTTCCTCTGGGTGATTGCTTGTCTTGCGACCTTGCTCGTTGGTATGCATGATGCATGCCTCCCGTCGCCACTACGGCTACGTAGCCATGGTAGTTAGTGTAGGCGTATTACACGCTGTTGTGAGGGTTGCAACTGATATTTGTTCTTTGCCAAGCCGCGGGTGCACCTCACTAGCAGCAGCACCCAGCAGGCGTTGCGTGCTTCTTGCCCCCCCTCCCCCCCTCCCCCCCTCCCCCCCCGACTGCCCGAGAGCTGCTCTATGGCGAAGTTAATCGTCTCCGCGTGCAAGGGGGCGCACTGGGCTGCTAGGGCACCGAATTGCATCCGCGAAATTGGGCACCAACGGTTTGGTGGTACACACAACAAATATGAGAGTGGAGCTTTTTTTTGTCATAGCAGACAGGGAATGCCACTGCTCTTCTTTTGTTGTCGTTTGTTGCTGCTGGTGCACAGCAGCGACCGGAGGTTTCCTGTCAAGCCTGAAGAACATGATCATCTCCCCGGCACCTGCTGAGCCTTCGCCTGCTGCTGTCCCAACGCCCGAGGAAGGTGATCAACTCCATAGCCATATCGTTACTATTTTTTTATTTGGGGTTTTACCGAGATGAAGTAATGATATGTTCGCTGTGACGTAGCATACCACCCCCACCCTTGTGCTGTTGATGCTGTTGTGAAGGCCGTTAAATAGCCGTATGACGTTCATCCGGCGTCGCCATGCGAACCTCCACGTGTCCCCTGCACTCTGCCGACATTAAATAATGTTGGGTCGTTGTGAGAAGGCATGTTTGCGGGAAATACTGCTGTAGACTATGTGTTCTGAGAAAATTAAAAGATACCGTTCGAGATACTGCTGTACGTGCGCATAATATAACCTAAAAGCGGAGGGTGTGTTGAAGCACTGTTCTTTCCCATAATTTCTAGCTATGTATCAATTATGAACTATGATAGTTGCGATAACGAATGAAAGAGTACCCGTTGGAGATAAGATAAATGCCCCAGTCGGAGGAGTTTGTTGGAGCAATGTGTTCTGATTAGTTTTACGTCACTGTAGTGAGGATTACAGTATCATACAACGGCAGTCATGCCTTTCGATTTCAACTTTTGGCAATTATGCAACGGAGGAGGCGTTCAACTGCGGTCCCAACATATTTTTTCTTTCACCCCTTCGAAGTACCCGTATGATGTAAGCACATGTATGCTCACGCTGTTTTCCCTATTATACCCTATAATACCCTATATTATTACCAAACAGACCGAAAGGCTGTCGCGGACACGACCCTTGTGTGGAAGGAAACGGTCACCAGCGGCACTTATGATGCCCCCAAGAAGACGGCGGCTCTCTACGCCGAGGATGGCGTTCTTTGGGGAACGGTCTCGGAGGAGGTCCGCGACACACCGGAGCAGATCTACGCCTACTTCGTGAGTGTTGCCGCCGCTGTTGTTGTTGTTGTTGTTGTTGCTGCTGCTGCTCAACGTGTTGGCGGCTAATGTGCAAACCCGCCGCTAGTAGTGTTATTTTCAAGAGTTTCCTCCGACCTGCCGTGCACCAGGCTTCCCTCTTGCAAGCGGAAACATCTGGCAACCGGATATCATCCCAAGGCTGACTCACGACCCCCCCCCTCCCTGTGGCCGCTCACGTGATTTTTTTTGTATTGTAATCAACACAGGACTACTTCGCCCGGCTTCCCGAGCTGAGGGTGGTGGAGTACACCCCCGTTGCCGTGCGCGTGTACGGGGATTTCGCCGTACAGGCCGGCACCTATACCTTCGCCTTCCAAGGCCCGGACGGGGTTACCGTCGAGAAGAGGGCCCGCTTCAGCTTCACCTTCCGGAGAGACAACCCCGGTAGCCCGCGGCCCTGGACGATCGTCGAGCACCACTCCTCCTCCATGCCCACGGCGCCGGCGGGGCTCAAGCGGGTGCGATGACTGTAGTGGTGTTGTGACCCATGCGCTGCCTGCTGCCCTTGACGTTCATGCAGATGTTGGGCCGCCCGCGTTCCCGCAGCAGTACCATATGTAGGTAGGAGTGCGAGTGTTGTTGATGTTGTCCCTTTAGTATGTTGAACACAGGAGTCTTTTCCAACCACTCACCCGCAACGACCACGAAAGATAACCCTAACCCTAAACCCTAGCACCCTAACCCTAACCATAAACCCTAGCACCCTAACCCTAACCCTAAACCCTAGCACCCTAGCCCTAACCATAAACCCTAGCACCCTTACCCTAGCCATAACCCAAAGCACCCTAACCCTAACCCCAACAACAAACTATGGCTGTCCGTCGATGCACTGATCGCCAAACAGAACGCCAGAGCACCGCAAGTTTTTTTGGGGCGCGGTTTTTGGCATGTATGCACATCCGTGTGATTCGTCAAATTGCTCAACAGCGTAGTTAGTGTCTATGCTGGTGGTTGTCCTCCACGATCTGTCCGTCTGTGTCCGCCAGTGTCTGCCCAGGAGGAACACGTTCATAGCTTCGAGGTAGACCGCTGACGTTGGGTGATGCTGGCATCCTTGCACGATTGCCATGATTTGTAAAGGACAGCGCCTCTCTCTCCGTGTTCACATTGATTCGCGGGTGACAAACCTAACCTAGCCTAACCTAACGGTACACTACCACCGCCACCTTCCCCCCGGTGTGGCGTAATGTGATGTGATGTTTGGCAGGTCGGACAAGAGGCTGTGCCCAAGAAAATCGTCAAAGTCATCACTCCTGGTGAGCCAGGCCAACTCACAGGCAGCTTGTTACCTGCTATTTACTGCTGGCTGTAACGCACATTCGACAACGCCTACTTCACGCATAAACCGCACCATAGGGGTTATTCCTGTAGTACGCTAAAGGTTTCTCGTACTTGCAGGGATGAAAGTCACTGTTTTCTGCTGTACCGTGCCAAGGCCAACTGCACGCGTATACCTCACGATAGGGTTGGTCTCTGTAAATGGTCTCGACTGGCTCTCGAGCCTTGCCAGGTACTAGTATTTTACGGTATGATAAGTATGCTTGGTACCAGAGGTTGATGCTGGCTTACTTGCACTTGCTCCCGCGCGCTATTATGGCCTGTACCTCGCAAACCACCCCAAAAAATCTATCTAAAACTATTTTCGGCCGATTAAATGTGCCCCCCGAAGGAGCGAACAGCCCCCCGAAGATTTGTCTTCTGGGCGATTAGTTGTTTTGGCGGATCCCAGGCGATTACATCGACACCGACACGCCGACCTCGAAACATTTGGTTTCCCTGAACCAGCCGAAACTTATCCAACGTTTTGTCGGTTTTGTTTTTGTGGGGCGTGCAGACCAGAAAGCGGTTGCGGAGACCACGATCGTATGGAAGGACACGGTGACTCTCGGAACCGACGACGCTCCGAAGAAAACGGCGGCTCTCTACGCCCCGGACGCGGTTCTTTGGGGAACGGTCTCGGAGGAGGTCCGCGAAACGCCCGAGCAGATCTACGACTACTTCGTGAGTGCTTGCCGAATGTCAGATTGCCTTGTCGAAAGGGTGCTAGACCTCCTCTCGTTGCGATCTACGTAGAGGCGAGATCTCCGGTAGGATTTTGTGGGTACGACGGGGTATGGGCCAGCTCTACGTCTGCGACACGGACGGCCGACGCGTACTTCGGGACAGAACACAGCCTCGTGATGCCTTAGCCAAGAAAATCGTTCGAAGGGGGGGGGTGCCAATCTCTCCGCCTCTTGCGATAGTCTCGCCGCGTTTTTCTTTTTTTTTGCGTAAAGCGGTATTGTAGAAGCGTCGAGGCTCATTTTTTTTTAATTGATAGCCATTGCTTTTTTTCGAGCACCGGTTGCTGTGTGGTAAACTCTGTGTAGGATCCGCCGCTGGGCCGTGTTTCCGAAGACCTTATTTTTCGTGATTTAGAGCCTCGGGTGCCTAACGATAGGTCCTAACTGCGGGCCCGTATGGTGGTATACCCGACATATCAGCAGTCTCTGGACCCATTTTTCAAGGCTCGATTGCTCCACGACGAAGGGGAAGCATAAATCAAACGATAGCGACATTTTCGGGGAAAAGCTCATCTATCTCGACTAGACGGTCCCAACGCGCCGCTATTTCCGCTGTGGAGCTTAGGGTCTAGTTGTTCTCGGTTGATCAACTCCTAAGTTTCCATGTTTCTTGGCAGGCAGCGGGGCCCGCTCTCTACTCTCTACTCTCCCCCCGCATCTGGCACCCGCCCAATGAGTGCTGCTGTATCTCCCCAATCCAAACAACCCTCCTTGCTTGCTCTCTGTCCCTGGTGGCTTGACTATTGTACATGTGTCCTTACACTCGAGTTGTCGTGCTCAAAAACCATGGTACGAAACCGTGCAGTGCTCGTGTGTGCATACTGCATCCCCCGGTATAACCTACGTACCTCACCCTATCCACTACTCTCGGCTAGCTTTCCCCACTGAGCCCAATGCCTATTCCGCCGCTGCTGGGCTGCTCCAAGAACAGGACTTCTTCGCGCGCCTGCCTAAGTTGAGACTGTTGGAGTACACCCCGGCCCCGGTGCGCGTGTACGGCCAGTTCGCCGTCCAGGCCGGCACCTACACCTTTGCCTGGGAGGAGGACGACGGGGATACCGTGGAGAAGAGGGCCCGCTTCAGCTTCACCTTCCGGAGGGACAAGCCCGGCAGCCCGCAGCCGTGGACGATCGTCGAGCACCACTCCTCCTCCATGCCCGATGCGCCCGCAGAGCTCAAGCACGTAAGCGGAGCGGGAGAGAGTCTACGTTTTTGTCGTTGGTGCGCGCCATGCTTTGTAGTTACTGCCGTGGGTAGGTATATGCAGGGGCCATTGCTGTGAAGACGAGTTTAGTGTGGCTACAGCTGTGGTCACCTAGTCCCACCGTACCTTAGCTTGGTTGTTGGGGTGTGTATTCGAGAACGAAGCCTGTCCGGAACTGCGACGACCAAAGCGACCCCGGGCAGTTACCGCACGTTGCCAGTGTTACGCAAGCTGTTGATGGCGACACCTACCGCAGTTTTGGTGCTGATCGTCGGGTTTCTCGATAAGCACAACCCGGTCTCATCTTTCCCGCTCCCGCTCGCCATCCCCACCACCGCCTTGGCTTTTCTCATTTTTCGATTGTTGATCGTTCGTTCGTTCGTTCGTTCGTTCGTTGACAGGTTGAACCCGAAGACGATGGCATCGATTACGTTGCGCAGGCTGTTGCCGACTTGTCGGCGACATCTTCCGTTTCGTCGTCTACTCTTCCTCCCTCTCCCCCACCCCGGAAAGGGCAGGCGATGGCCGCCTTTGCGGAGGACGTGAGTAAACTATTTAGTAAAGTAGTAAACAAGTGGTCAATCATAATCGTGCTATCATAGTTTGGTTTTGGTCGATGCAGCCATGACGCACTTGACGTTGTTACAGTAACAGTAACAGTAACAGTAACAGCAGTATTGTGTTGACCCTAAACCTAGGGCGGTGATCGTTGAATCCGCATTCCCAACATATATCAAATACTTGCATTTTTTGGTGAAACAGAGAAAATTTTAGCCCTACAGTATGCATACGAGACAAAGAGAACAACCGCGTTGATGAACGGTGGTGGATTGTTTTTCGGTGGAAGCTTACTGCTCTGCATTGCTTCAGTCCTGCTGCGGCTGCGTGAGTGCCGTGTGTGTGTGGCCTACAGTAGTGGCATGAGGTTCCAGCGGCGATGTTTTGTCGGGCAATGCTGACGCCGTATTTTCGTGCCTACACATGTTTGCCGCAGTCGGCACCACAACTTGGTTGATTGAGGAGGGTTGTGCTGCCAATCATCATATGGCCTCCACTCTCGAAGACATATTCTCCGCACGTGTATTCGGCCGTGGCGAGATGTCACTGTGTCGTCAAAAAGCTGCGCGGGCCGCCGCGATAAAACGGTTACCCCTCCGTCAGATAAACCGCCGCTCACCGCTGCCGAAACACTGCTGTAGCCGACAACTTAGGCCAACCACCGTCTGGCGGAAAGCGCTCAACTTCTGGTGTATCGTTTTCTGACCTGGGGAACAGCGCCGTTTCATTTTTGCGCCTCTAGTTCGGTTTTCCAGTTGTTGAAAAGCAATCCGTCCTGCCTGACATTGCCGAAACCTCTGCCCAATTTTAGGTTGCTCTTCGATTTTTCGTTGCGTTTCAGGCACGGGCTTCTCCCACTGGCGCAAAGATGTTCTATTTTTAACCCTTGCTCATTTTTTTTTCTTTTCCGTGCTGCTGCTGTTGTTGATGTTGCTGCTGGTACCTCCGCGTTCGATGCAAACCACCATCTGCTCTGCTCCTCGGTTGCTGCTGTTCTGGTTCTTCTTCTGCCAATGGTCTTATCTCTCCGGCTGAAGGTCAATCATCACCCGGTTGACCTTACCGCCAACGTGGGGAGTTGCGGGTTGGGTTTAGTCCTCGGGAAGGAGGAGCAAGGAACCCGCTGGGTCGTCAACGGATTCCGGTCCATGCCAGATGGAAAGCCCAACCCTGCCGAGGTGAACTACTGTACTTTTTATTTATATATTTATTTTTAGCACAAGCGCTTTTCGTTGTCGCTGTAGGGACCGAATCGTCAGCGGCCGCGGCTGGAGGCTATGTGCGCGTGAAGGGAAAACGTAGGGACGTTTTTTGTTTTTTTTTCCGAGTCGTTGTGATGCTGTCACTGAATGTGAGCGCGGTGCGTTTTCATATTTCGCACCCTTTCGCTCCTTTCGCTCCTTTTCCTCCTCCAGACGTACCGTCCTCATGACCGAGCAGGATACGAGGTCTGTGTTGGTTGTGAACATAGGCGGTGGAACCAACTGAAGATGTGCCATTTGTGGCAAAAGAAAATTGGTCGCCGCTGAAGTACGGAGAGTGTTCGGGCGTCTCTCTTTTATTTCTTCCTCCAAGTGGCTTGCTCTCTGTGTTATTTGTCGTCCACAAACTCGGATCACCATCACACACGTATACCCTGTCTCTTGTTGGTCGGCTGTAGTTGATCGCAAGGCGAATAAGTACATGGTGGTAAATCACGCATGTTTGACTTGATTATGTATTTTTTTGTCTCGTTTCTTAATGATGCATTGGGTTAACTTATATTTCGGTTCTATTTGCCCCCACATAGGCGGCCGGCATCGAGGTTGGGGACACCCTGCAGCAGGTGGGCGGGGTGCCCCTGGGCACGTACAAAGAAGGCATCGAGCTGTTCAAGAAATTGCGGGGCCCCGTGGTTCTCACGGTCTGCAGGCAGAACGATGAGGTCTTGATCTGATAAATCGATCTTGGGGGTCTACTCAAGTAATTAAAGATGTGCGGAAAATTCTGATATCTAACTCAAGGTCTAGATCGTCTACTTTGGACGCTGTTTTCGTCCAAGTATTCATGTCGATCTACCTCACTTAAAGAAAGGCGAAAGTTTCGTCTATCTACCAAAAGGGTGTTTACCCAACCAAAAACCAGAAACACAAACGACGGTTTGCGGTCGGACGGGCGGACGGGCGGACGCAAGCATTGTGAGCCACAAGTTAGACCGTTGGGTCAAGGGAATCAAGCATGTGGTTCGTTGGGTCTGTGGATGATGCAGTTTGTGCTCCAACCGTTCGTTTCGGCACGATTCGAACCATAGGAAGACAAGCAAATCACCGAACACTTGAACGAAGTTTGTCCATCTCCTCGACGAGAGGATAGGACAAATTTCAGCTGTCTACTCTATCCTTGCCCCAGCGCTTGCCAGGATGGCGGTTGGAAGGGGGGGTAGCGAAGGGTCCGTTGGGGGTGGGGGGGGGGGCGTCGAATCGAACACGCAGGAAAAACAGGGGCGTGGGCCGTAGGAGGGGAGCAGAAATATGGCGATTCGCGGAGGAAGACTGAAGACGCTTGGCGCAAGTAAGGCTACAATGTAGCTTGGAGTGCACCGTGTGTGCTGGCAGGGGCGCGGTCGCGGGCGCGGCGTGGGCGGGGGACTAAAAAACGAAGTGCCGTCAAGCAGGTCTGAACATTGTACAGTGTGCTGAGTATGAGTCGCATTTCCTTTCATCGGTTGTCATTCAAGTCAGGGCGCTCCTATTGTTGAAACCCAAAACTCTTGTAGGGCCTCTCGTAGAAAAAGCGTCCATTGATATTTATTCAAGACAAAAGGCTACAGCAGCTGCAGGGGGATCTTGATGATTCGTTGCGAGCGTTAAAGCTTGCATCCGGAGCCACCTCGGGGGTGGCGATACGTGAAACAAACGCGGACCTTTCTGAGAGATCAAGGCACGCCGAACACACACGCGATTTCTGTCGGAAGGTTCCTATCCGTACCCGTGGGTTTGTTGCAGCGGATATGTTGAGTTTTTTGTGGGTTCGGTTTGATTTCGGGAGACGGGGGTGGTAGCTGGAAAGATCTCGGGTGAGCCTGCACTGGTTGGAATCGAGGTGCTTCTAAGTGATAGCCGTCCGCGAGAAACCTCACGCGTGCGTTGTTGGTGTAGTTTTCATCGTATCGCACGGCAGACTGCGCTTGATTCGGTGCAGATGGGAAGCATTCTCCTGTCCATTCCCTCGTACTTTGAGTTTCGGGCACTGGCGCTGTCGGTCTCCTGAGGGAACGGAGTATATTTTTGTTTTGTTGATGCAAAGCGGGGGGTGGCCAAGGGACCCCGGAAGTTTGGTTTGACTCTTGCAACCGGCATCCATCCGGGTTCGATGCGGGTCAAAACCCCTCGATGAAATATTTTTTATTTTTTATTTCTTCGGGGTTTCGTGCACTAGACACTACTGGTACATACAGCAGTAGATAGACTTTTTTTTTTCGATCAGCCTTGGCGAGGTGAAAACAACTGGTGTGCACGGGCTACACGGTTTAGTAGGATCTAGCGAGTGGGTTAGAGGCTACTGGTAGTTGGGGGTACTTTGTGTGTCATACTTTGACTTTGGTGTTTCGTTCGTGTGTTGTCTTGAGCGGCGAAGATCTGGACGGTACTAAATAGATGACTTGCTTGTTGATTCCGTTGTCGGCGTTGGTGGTACTGTATTGCCATTGCAACTACAACAAACGCCGATGGGGGGGGTGGATGGCGCGAAACCCGGGACAACGTATGCAGTGCAAAAAAGTGCAACGTGGTACATACTGCAATGTACAGGAGAGAGAGCTGATTCGACGAAGAGGAGGAAATACAGCTTATTGTGTCAAGAATGGACGATTCTTCTTTCGGAAAAATACAATGCTGATGTATAACGCATCCTAAAGTAGCTGCGGGAGGTGCCTCTTCTTCATGTACGTACCTACCTGTGCCTCCCAGGGAAGCACGGACGGGTGATGGCAAAGAGCCGCAGAAACACGTAGGAACGAATTGGGTCGTGCATTTGTTCCTCCGCAACGTAATCTACTATTATAGCGATGATCACACGTTCGTCCCTCTTTTCCCTTAACGTAGTTGATTGATCTTGTTGTGAGCGAAGGCCGACCGCGCCTCATCTTATTCGAGCCCCGACTCTTACCGTAGTTCCCCCAAGTAAGTGTACAGCAGCAGTATAGCTTATTGTCACGCTAAGGGTTTGCGCGGTGTCCGCGGCTGAATCCATTTCCTTCCACCATTCATTTCAACGATTGTTATACCCGAAATTCTAGAGTGTGTGTGAATAATAGGCTTTCTTTGTTGGTGTGACCCGGCTGGCACTACAAAGGCAAATCACTATGCGGGAACTTTCATCCCGTCTAGATCTACCCTCCTTACGCTCCGTAATCGACGAATGGTGGTCTTGGCAAAGACACCAATCGACTCATCGTTGCTATCGCCAACCGCTTCGCGCACAAGCTTTTTGCCGGGGGAATTTTGACGACGCAAGAGCCTTAGTTCGCCTGAAAGCTTTTCTTGCTAACAGGATTCGGAGACGGTTTACCTTCTTCGAGCTAGCTCGTTTTCTGTCGATGCGAACTCGCGATGTATTCAATCGTCATGGACTACTGATCAACCAACTTCCACCAGGCAGGGCCAATCGGTTGGCATCTCTGCGACAACGATAGTAATGAGGGTAATTCTTTTAGGAGTGACGGAGACGAAGGAAAGGGAAAGGGAAGAAAGGAGGACGAAGACGACGATGGAGGAGGAAAACATGGAGGAGTGGAAGAGAGCAAAGGGTTTGAGCCACATGACCTTCCCCAAAACAAAAAACGTAGGGCTATAGGGAAGAACTGCCCAGAGATTCTTGTCAAAATGAGGATCAGAATGCATGATGGTAGCGAAAACAAGGAGGCTAATGATGAAAGTACTCCTAAACGAACTAGAGTACAAGGTAACAGCCTTGCTTGGTAGACGCGTCCAGTTTTCTTCTTTTGCTGCTGTTTCTGTCTTTGATCCGAAGGATAGTTTAGTCTCCCCCATGCTGCCCCCTTCAAGGGGTCCCAGTTCATGGCAGATACAAGTGTTTTTTTTTTCTTCTTAATATGACACAACGAATCCATCTCTATCATAGAAAAGAGTCTGAGACAGATTAGCAATTAATTCATAGCGTCAGAAAGTACCTGTATGTCTACGGTTTCCTAGACAGCATATAGGGACATCTCCCCTGTGGTTTTTAACAGGCTCAACAAGCAAGACAGTTTTTTTGTGTTTTGAACCGCACTAAGACTGTCGTCTTTTCATTGGTCAGCCGGTTAGCGCGGCCGATGCTAATAATAAAAACACATACATACATACCGAACGAGGACGTACATCGCTATGCTACCTGATGTGATGTGTCAACGTGACCAAGGATGATAGATCCATCCAGAAAAAAAAAAAACTCTTGTCGAAAAAAAAATGGTACACACACAGAAATAAATAAATGTAGTGGGCAGTAGAAGTGCGGGGAAAATGAGGGCCCTTGACCACCCAACCCCAGGAACATATAGGATTTAGAATGGGATATATTAGGAAGAAATGAACGACGTGGTTCCAATATTTTGAAAAGGGAGGTGAGGAAGGTGATGGCCGTACATACATATTATATATGTGAGAACTCATAATAAGGAGGCAGGATTGCTGTAGTTTAAGGGAGGGAGCCGTGCCGCTGACGCCAAGTTTAAAGGAGAGGGAGCCGTGGGTGGTAGCTTGCTCCTAGAGATAGATGAAGGTAGGTTCTGTCGTTGACACGCTTGTCCACGATCACGTTGAGATGAGAAAGTTGCTTGTTATTGCTGAGAGACGATCAGCAAGGGTCTGAGGTGAAGTGGGGATCCAACTTCACCTCAGGGGGTACGCGGACTAGGCAAATCCTAAGAGGGTAGGTGTCTGAAGGGTATACCTCCTGGGACCGACCCACATCCTATCAACAATAAGATGTACCCCATTTAAGCTAGCAGCCACACTCCTTAACAGTAGCCCGCCCGCATCCATCGGAGCACAACGCGCCGCGTTTGCTCTACGCTGGTTCGTTCGTTAGTACAGTATGCTCAGGAGCTGGTCTTCAGGGGCGTCGGTGATTGGCTAAGACTGCTAATACTTTTCCATATTGTAGCCCATACGTTTGTAGTGCCATTTTTTTGGGCTCGTGAAGACTGCTGGGAGAGGGAAAATTGTGAAATCAGCAATAATATTTAAATTTACCAATTTTACGCTTCAGAGGTATGCCATTCACCCATCCGCGTGCCCCCGCCCCGCTCGCGCAAGGGGGCTCGTCAAGTGCACATGTTGATGCACTGCTCAAAACTGGATTAAGGACCAAATCGAGGGGGAGGGGGGGGGGGGGGGGGGGGTTCTTTTTTTTTAAACCCCCCCCTCCTGCCGAGCCCTAAGAAAAAAAAATTTAAAAAAAAGAAGGGGGGAAAGGAGCCCTGGCCCCTTAAGAAGGAGTTTTGGGCCCCCCCAAAAAAATTTAAATGGGGGGCGGGAAAGAAAAAAAAATGGGGCCCCCTGTTTTGGCCGGGGAAGACCCCCCCCGGGGGGAAAAAAGGGGGGGGGAAAAAAACTGGGGGCCAAATTTCCCCTTGGGGGGGGCCTTTCCGGAAAAAAAAGGGGAAAAAAAAAAAAAACCCCCGGGTTTGAAAACCGGAAAGGGAAGTTTGGGTTTTCCCCTTGGGGGAAAAATTTGGGCCCCCCAAAAAAATCCCGGGGGAAAAACCCCATGCCCCAGAGGGGGGGGGGCGGGCCAAAGGGGGGGGACCCCTCTTTTTTTTTAATGGGTAAATAAACAAAAAAAAAAAAATAAAATCCGTCCCGGGGGGGGGGGATTTTTGG